CGCTTTTCAGTTTGTTAGTCCAAGATAAACGGCACAAGCGTATGCGCATTTTCGTGAAACAAGAGAGAGAGAGAGAAGACTAGCTTTACATAAAAAAATCCGAGTCCGATCGCTTTAACAAGAAATAAATACGCGGGAGATTTGTTCTTGAGAGGCAAATGAAAAGCGCCCGGGCACATAACGAGATCCGCTTGTTGCCTCGCGTAAGCCGTGTAATACGCAATGGCATGGACTCTAAGCGTCACTGCAATGTGCAAGAGAGAAAACGCGTATTTTTTTTTTGTTATCCGCGGAAAAATATCTCCGTCATCAATTATTCGAGTCACCACCGTTCTGAATCGTGAGATGCATCCCTCGCATCCGTGGCATAGAATATAGAATAATCGCGATGCGTACGTGTGTATGTCTACGTGTATGTATGAGCTCGGCTTTTGTGTCTCGAGTCGTGACATTTGCCAGCGAAGTCGGACGGGTTGTTGTACGGCGCGCGCCGTCGGACGGACGTGCGGAATATCCGCACCCGCGGAAATGGAGAAAAAAGCGCGTGATGCGGACACGGATCGGGCTCGTGACACGATCTGCTATGCACACAGGCGAAAAGGGATGATAGGAGATGGAGAAAAAGAGAGAAAAAGAAAGAGAGAGAAATGTCTTTACATCCGGCAAAAGGTCGATTTCAACTCCGCTTGCGGAAGGTTATAGACCTCGACGCTTTATTATTAACGCGATGTGTATCGATTTTGTCTGCCTGCCTCCGTAAACTCGTTTCTATTCTCGCGGTTGCAGATTTGTGTGGTGAAACTGAGGGGAGAAAGCGGGAAAGAGAAGATTGCCGATTTTTTTTGTATTTCTTCGCGGCACAATCCGAGGTTACAAGACGACTTCGTCATTCATTTCGCCGTGTCGAGCAAGATAGACAGGGGTGGCTTTTATTTCCGCAGGGGATAGGGGCGAGATTTTCTCGGGCGGTGAAATGAAAATTTTATCGAGTCGAAATGGCAAACGCGCGATAGATATTCCTCCGTGGCGAGTGAGTTGGAATTATTTTTAGTCTTTGTTCACATCGTATCTCACAAAGACATAACGTCCATTTAGGATGTCTCTGTTGAACGGTCCGTAGCTCCATGTGACGTCTAATGAACGTCTGATGGAGGTTTGTATAGAATGTTGTTCCGTGTGGAACAGCGCGTCGCGATCTATTCAAATTGCCTTTCAATTCACATTACAGCGACCGTTCGATCTCCCCTGTGGAAGAAGATTTGATTCTATGACGTCTACCGAACGGTAGCGCCCTAAGAGTTATAGCGCAAAGCAAGCTTTTTCATCGCGTTCAATGACGTGTAATTTTTCTACGAGAAAATGAGCGATTACAGTTCTTCTTGCTTCGGATGAAGCAGGATATGAATTAACCGTAAAGAATAAGACTTCATTGGATTTATCCGAGTCTTTACGAAGAGGGTTTTGCTCATCTCCTTTTTTTTTTTCACGTCTCATGCGTAAATGATAAAATTCTTTCTTTTTATTTTTGCTACGAAAGTTTTTTAATACAACTTTCAAAACGTATTGAATGTGAAGCGAAACTGTTTTACAAGAAAGCGAAAAAATTAAATTTGCAAAATAGAAGAAACGCAACTTTGCTTTGGAAAATTTTAAAAATTGCACAAATATAACATTATTAAATTCATGTTAAAATTTTAATCCCTTTTGAGCATGCTGCTTATTTTATGAATAAAAAGCGCACACTTCTCAAGCAATTAGATGTGCACGTTTCGAAGTGCAAGTCACGCAATTTTTTTTTTTAGCGACGCGATGTGTGAATATTTATTTTGCTTTATCTCTCACGGTCGTATCTAAATTTATATACTGTCAGTAAATAATCGCAATATTCTCTTCAGGAAATATTATTGTTGAAGCGATATCGAAACATGAATAAGTTGCAGCATTTAAATTTTTATATGTTAAAAAGTATTCGAGCAAAGCGAGATTGTGTCCACGGTGCGAATATGACCCTTATGTTGCATAATAGGTTTTTTCTTTTTATCGCGAATAGGCGCGTGGGCCGCGCTACCGCGGCTTTTTGAATTTTAGAGTGCGCCGTTCGTAGAAATTTATTGTCTACGGCAACCGTATCCTGAGACATGTATATACGCAATATGTCGTAGATTCCCGCTAAAAATACGTCTCCCAGGCGCGTCTGGGAAAGAGCGGATTGCGATGTATGTATATTTCGCGCCTTTGCCCGCGTCACTGAATTAGATTTTTCCGACGAGATAGACCGTTCGAGTCTAATGACGGAATAAAAACCAAACGGTAGTATAGATATGAGCATCTATTTTTTCTTCAGACCGAACTTTGTGTGAGATGTTTATGTTCAAAGCGACGTAAATTCGGCGCAAGATCGCGTCCTCGAGATATGTTTCTTCAAACTGAATTATATTTACACTTTCAGAACGTGTGATGTTTCCTCGATCGCAGAGAATCAAGCTCACGCTTTAATATATCGCTTACATAATTTATTTTTCTTTCGAGAGTTTGAAGTAATTTATTTGCTGATAGAACGAATTATCATGAGATAAGAGACAGAGATACGTCGCGATTGTCAGTAAAGCGGGACAGCTCACCTGATGATACATTTATCCGAAAAATCGTTGGAGAAATATAAATTCAAGATTCATCGACTTCCATCCTCTTTACGCAGGATGAACGATCCAGATCTCGGACTTCGGATCTCTCTCTTCACTTCTTACGTGTGGCAATCCAGAAAATTTCCTCTCGCACCCCGAAAATTTATCTCTCTAAGACCTTTTTTTTGAAGCAACGATTCATACGTTGCGTTGAAAATTTGATCTCCCATTCGCTCGCGATAATAAAACAGCCGTACGTTTTTTTTGTGTGTATGTGTGCGTGTGAAACAATAGAGTGTTCTCTTTGCTTTCGCCGAGACTCTCGAAACTGCGCGCGCGAATGAACGACGACGAGCGAGGGTCGCCGCCGTTTGGCCGGGAGGACCGACCACCCCGATGTATGTCCTTCTCTTTGATGCCACGTGCTGAAGTCAAACGGGCGTTAGAGCGAGAGAGAACGGGCGCGAGCGACCACGTCGGCGCGTCGCGACGCCTCCGTCGACGCGCGCAATTGACGCTTCCGGGGTGCGGGACACCTACTATAAACGCAGGAATCGCGATCGCGTCTGTGGATCTTGCGCGATTCATCTCTCACCGAAGAACTACCTGTAATGAGCTGTTTGCATTGCGGAACGGAATTTTCAATTGAAATTTATTTCCTTTCGTGTTTAACGAAGTACATTATTATGTACTTTTCCTCGCTCTCTTCCGAATATTATACACACAGCTCATTTTCGCAAATACGAGCGAAACATAAATTATTTTAATTAATTATTGCGCGTGTTTGAATGCAACGAACCGTAATTCCCTTGTTTGCGTTTCTCGCGCGCAAAACCGATAAATTTCTCGTTAACCGTATGCGTGAAGTGTAAAGGGTTAATCTAACGGTTATTGAATTACTGCTTCGTACATATCAGTATGTACGTCGGATCGGGATGAAATCGACAGCGCGTAATCTGTTTTGACAAGTATAAGTACGCAGCGCGCGCGGAATAGAGACGGATCGCGAAATCGACACGTTGCAATTTCTGACGATATCGGAGGTCGTCCTCGCTTCTGATCGTCGTGTTTCTCGCGCGAATTGCCTCGCAGCGGTCTTTTTAAAACCACTCGTAAGGATCACGACCGATTTTACGAGTCCATTTCGTGGATATATTGATCTGTTACGTTTATTTTTAGCGAGAAGCCAGAAGATATTGATAATCAATTTTGCCATATTGTTTCAAGAAATGTTTAAGAAAAAGAAAACAAAAAGAGAATATATATGTACGTATACAGTATGATATTTCACATGAAAAAAAAGTTCTGACCATTCGAAACGACCATCGTTTGTTTTTTATGAAGCACGATAAGATCTTGTTAGTTTTATGAATTTATGAATTTTTTTAGAATTTTTTGGAAATCCGGCTGTGTCTCCCTGGACACTCGGCAAAATACAAATCTTCATCATTTTTTCGATAAAGACAGATATTAACAATTTAAATTAGAGGTCAAGTACGAGCTTATGTGTCGAATGTACGTGCAAAAATATAGTCTTTTGAACGTGTAAATAAATACACGTGGAATTTCAAATTAAATTCAATTTAAAAAATTCATTTTATAACGATGTTTTGGTTTGCATTTCATATGTATAAAATATTCGATAGCTAAAATGTAGTTTTTTTCTCGCACTGGAGTTTTTAAAATTTTATAAGAGAATTAAATTGAGTATGTTTTATACATGAGATCCCCAAACCAAGCCGTCTTAAATGAATTTTCGAGTTCAATTTAATTTTCACGTATATTGATTTACACGTCCAAAACAGATAAGAGATTTTTATTTTTTAAATTATTATATTTGCACGTTACACATCCAGCACACATAGATAATGATCTCTCTAATTTAAGAAGTTGTACATTATCACGAGCTTTAATATTTGATACATATATGCCTAACGTGAAAATTACACGAATAAAACGACTCTTTGTTTGAACAATTGATGAAAATTATCTCAACGATACACATATCGCGAATAAAACGAATTTAAAATGACATTTCATCAACAATTCTTATCTCGTGTAGCAAAAATCAACAATGATAACATGAGCGCGTAAAAACGGCAATGTTATAAAAAATTTATTATTCTTTTTAGATTATCCATCAACAAATCTTTTATCTCTTCTCTCTCGTTATGTCTGATGATAATTTATTTGAAAAATATTTTTTCTTCAATTTTAAATAGTTTCAATTTTTTATTTCATTTTCTGAAATATTTAAATATTTAATTTTTTTAAATATTGGAATACTTTGCTTTAATACGTGCTGCTTTAATATTTTTAATATACTTTGCAGTTTGGAAACAAGGTCTTAACGCAAACAAATTTCTTATGTTTTAGAGCACCAGGCAATGGCCAGTCACTGACCAATTATACGTAGTATACAATCCTATGCCTTTATTAGATGTTCACTAGACATCTAATAAACGTTACGTTTACGTGGAAAAGAACACTGACTAGAGAATTAAATAACGCAATGCCGAATTATCGCTATACAAGAGACAACATCCGTCTTACTACGGCTCAAAGGAACTTTTACGAAGACAATGGATATTTGGTATTTCCCAACCTCGTGCCGCAAGATTTGCTCGATAAATTCCACAAAAGGTATAAAGCGCGAAACGTGCGCATCAAACTTACGATGCGATGTTTCTTATATTGCAGAAAACATATTTCAAAAACTAAGTATTAAAAAAAATCTTAGTAGTTTTTTTTTTATGTGACTTCTATAAAAACTTGGAGGTACTCGTGGCAGTTACGTTTTGTATTGCGACGTCAAAAGCGAGAAATTTTAGATTAACTTTCATCAGCAAATAATCGGGAGTTTTTTTTTTCAATTAAAGAAAAAAAGATTGACGCAATGTTTTTTCATCGCGCGTACCGTAGATATTTGAACGTGGGGAAAAAGATCTTTTTTCATATCCAAACATCTACACGCGAATTGAAAATAATACTTCTGCAATTGCTACGTCAATCAGAATGATCTTATCGGCAATTTGCAGTATGAAACTCAATGATGATCTTGTAGTGTTTACTGGACCGTTCGACGTTTCGGTAAATTTACTGACGGTTATTAACTCACGCAAATACCGCGTGCAATCGCGGTATCACGAACAATTCACACACGGATATTCGAATGAAATATCAAGAGGGTCGATTGTGCATCTATGCAATGTAGTGAAAAATAATTGCAAAAGTGAGCAAATTTACTAGTTGTCGACCAATAAAATGGTCGGATCACATAAATATTTTAATAAAAATCGCTCACTTTTTTGTCATTTTCACTACGTCGCATAGATACACAATCGGCTCTCTGAAATGCCGACGTACAGTAAACTGCAAATATTATATCAGGTCTCTCTCCTTGGTATCGATCATAAAAACGCATCTCTGGATAATTCTGTTTACTCAAAAAGAGAAGAAATAAAAAGATCAATTTTTAGAAGAATATTAAAATCTCGTATTAAAGAACGAGATTTTAATATTTCTGTTTTTCTTTAGATTTGACGATATTGTCGCGGGTCGAGCTCCGCGAAATGGATTAATAGTTATGCGCGATGTGAAGGACAAGAAATCGGTGAATAAGATACAGGATCTGCAATTCGACCCGGTATTTCTTGAGTATCTCAAGTACGAAAAGATCCTCGACATAGTCGAGTGCTTCACAGGACCGAATATTCTAGCGATACACAATATGCTGATCGCGAAACCACCCGACGTTGGATATGGCACTTCGAGGTAATAATAATCTTCACGCTCTCGAGATTTGAAGCCAATTAATAATCGATTGTTAAATCTTTTTTTTTTTTTTCATTTCTTGTTCGGTTTGAGCGATACGAACATGATCCGTACCTATAGGTAAAAATAAAAACAGCAAAATCTCCTTTCTTTCGTTAAGACATCCTCCGCATCAAGATCTGTATTACTTCCCGTTTCGTCCCGCCAACAAGATAGTGGCTTCTTGGACAGCCATGGAACTCTGCGACACGGAAAACGGATGTCTCTATGTGGCACCTGGATCGCACAAATACGAGCACTTGTTTAAACATGGTTATCCTACAGATGGAGTGGTGAACAAATTTTACCACGGCATACAAGTAAAACTGTTCCTTATGTTCTTTTTTAACTTTAAATTAGTCGATTGTTTTTTAACGTTGTTTCCTGTTTAGAACTTGCCGCAAGTTCACTGGGTGAACCTAGAGATGCAACCTGGCGACACGGTGTTCTTCCATCCGTTGCTCATACACGGATCCGGCGTCAACAAGTCTAACAGAACTAGACGAGCAATTTCCTGCCACTACGCGACAGCGGACGCAACCATGATCGAGGTATGTAAACGAAACAAATAAAATACGTGAATATAAATATAAAAAAACAGCAAAGAACGTTTTAACAAATAAAATGTGTTTTTGACAGACCGATGAGGTCATGGACACCATTAAGAATGAAATTCTGGAGTATGCAAAGAAAAAATATCCCAATGTGGATATGAAATATACGGATATATGGCGCTTCAAAAGCTTGCTTGTGCGCGGTCTTAGATCTTCTTTCTGAGCATTATCAATCTATCTAACTACATATTCAATATGTACTTGTTTTTTGGAAGAGGGTAATATTAAGATAACTTTAAGACAATCCGCGTCAGAGAAGGATACACGGGATTCGTTCAGCAAACGATACGGGAGATGGCATTCGGGAGAGAGACGGGTGAGAGACGTCATCACAGAAGAAGAAGTAACGCCAACGACGCGACGGTCGCCGTTATTATTTAATGAGTTAATATTACGTCGCTGATGGGAGTTCAATGATTGCGAGACGTAACAGTGTTTCGCAAGAGGATCTTTGTAAGTGTTCTCGTGCACACTTCGCATACTGAAGCTCGACGTACGGCACACAGCCAGGCAAATCTGAAAACGGTCTGTCCTTCGAGTCCGCGTCTCTCCCTCGTCTTTCCGCACTTTTAGAAATATGAGGTTCACGTCCTTTCGACCTCGCATTTGTAGGATAGACTGAAATATATATAAATTTGTTACTACATTTTAACCGTCACTTTTTCTTACAAAGAGATAAAGATGTATATTACAAACATATGTAATACAAATAAATGCAATTCTTAAAATCACTCGATTTACCTTGTTGGGATTTAAACAACAAGAGACGCAATATTCGTAAATGGTACAACATCCTTGAAGATTGCAAGTTTTACAGCTGTATCTCTCCCTCTTAATCACAGCATCCTCTTTGTTCTGTTGTGTCTGTTCTATTGTGCAACATCCATTTGGCAGAACTTCATGTCTCGAACATACCAGACCGCGTTCATCCACTATCAAACCTTTGCCCTAAAGAATAAATATTTGTAAACATGAGACAGTTGCCAATACAAGAATTATTATTTATTAAACTCGTTTGTAGTAAATATTAACTTGAATAGAATTGCGACAGGATTGATTGAAATCGTCGTTTTCGTTTAAATTGGCTAAGTTGATATTTTCTATATTGTCATTAGTCCCAGTCAACATTTCCATCTGCCACGGTAATTTATCAGGTACCGCTAGCTCACCCGATGATAATATGTTTTCATCGGGCATCAAATCTTCGTTGTCATTAATTGCCATAAGATTCGTATCGTCAATATTATTGATTGGAGTTAATGGTATTTTCTGTAATATGAATGAATTTACATTTGTTCAGTATAAATTCAGCATAAACAAATGATAATGTACAACAATGATATTGTAATTGCTGTGCGAACTTAATTCTGAATTGACGACATAATTGATTCAAGATGATACAAATATATGCCTACCTTTCCATTTTGCAGCAACGATACGATACAATAGGTCAATGACAGTGCAAAAATAATTCCAAGAACGAAACGTCGTCTGATTATTCGAATCAGACCGGTGCAGCTTGGCATTTTTCCTTGTCTTTTATTGATCGTTTTTTCTTAAAATAGTCACGTACTATCGTCAGAAATGATCGTCGATCATGTTATCTTACGTGACTTTTGAACCGTGTATAAAATATAGTGCATAACTGTGGAGATCCTCGTGATGACATTCAAGCACATTTGGAACTTCGCAGTTTCAGAAGAGGTTATGCTTCAGGTTATTTACTTTTCGCCAAGTAAATGTTTATATTAGTTTTGATTTCTTTATATTTCCATAGATGTGTGCTTAATCGCGTTGCGGTTTGGTACAAAGCACATTGTTTGATAAGAAACAACCGTTGGGTTTCCGCTCTGTGAAAGAATATAAAGTTAAGTATTAAAAATCAAGTGTTGCAAAAAGCAATGACTTCTACAGGTTAGAAAATCTGTCATGTCGGCGTGTGTGCATAAAATATATGTGTGTCGGATGTGTGTTCATAAAATATAAACTGTGATATATATACATTTGTTGCACATAATCATTGTATTCATATTACACCATGGATATTTATATTTGAATACTTCGAAGATTCAAACCGCTTTAACGAAAATGTGATTCTAAGCCTGACTAAATTTTGCAACTAATCATCACTTGAAATCTAGCGGTTCGAGCCTTGGCTAAATCTTATAAAAACAGGTGATGATTTGATTTTATTATTCCTGTTCTTATTTCTATCGCGTTTATTGTGAAATGGGCGTTAGCGATATTTTTTATTGCTGTTTTTTTTTATCAATATTTTTTTTGTTCCTATTCTCATTTTTATTGCCCAAGGTCTTTTGAACGTGTAAAGAAAAAACTTTAGAAAAAGAATTAGAAAACGTTCTATTCTGCGGAAGCTATTCTTTGCACTCGGACTTTTTATCTTCATTTTTTGTGTAAGCATTTTAATGTCGAGTTCACTGATTCTCATTGATCTTATTTTTGTTACAGACTGTTTGTTGTAAAATCTTCATAAATTCAATAGATAAATAAACATTTATACACACGAGTAGAGAAAACGCGTGAACACACATTTTATATCTTATTTGAGCTCTTTTTTTTTTTTTCAACGATTAATCTCGTTTGGTGCCACTTTAAATCAGAAAATATATTATCAATTCGTTAGCTAAAAAGTTTTAATTGCACTTTCGCAAATCAACTAAATAAAACATCTTGATTGTATTAATAAAAATTATTGTGATCAAGAATCACTGCGCCTAATGCGTTTCACATATTTGCTACTTAATTGTAAATTATTTCGTTCTAACGTTGACTTTTCTGCGCAGTTGTCGTCGAATCATCAATCTAATGTCAGTTTACTGACATAATTCTACTAAAAACCTTAAAAAGAGAAGATATTTTATCTTCACTGAACGGCGATCTATTTTGAAATAGATTTTCCAAATTTCAAAATTTCTTTTCTAACTGTATAAAAACCGCTCTCGATTAGTTTTTTTTTTTTCAGATCAGTTACTAATCAGACACTGTGCTAATCAATTCAAGACATTCATATAACAATAATATATCGTAAGGTAATAATTAAAAGTATTATATTGCAAGTAATATAAATTTATTATTATGCAAGTAATATATAAGTGCGACATCTTCTACATTCATTTTTTTAACACATATCAATTACAAATCTTAATGATGACTGAATCTTAGTGACTAGCGATACGTACAAATATGTAGTCTTGCTAGACACGACACAAGCTGAAACTGAGCGTAGATGATGTCATAAATTTTGTAACCCAATACTAAAGTATGCTCGCGGTCATAAAACAAATTGTTGTTGGATTAGTTTGAAATCCTTGAGATCTCTTTGAAACTTTCGAGTCAAAAGATGAAAGGCCAATACACGGCAGAAAAATATATTCGGTGCTTTATGGCAGAAAAAATCTATCAGTTTTTTTATCTGGATGTTTGTATTTATACATATTTTAAAATTTTATTAAACATGTAAATTTATAACACGTAGAAAAAGTTGAGTAAGTATATAACAAGTATATAAATATATTTTCATAAACATTTAAAAGCTTCGATTTTTTCATTTACAAGAGACAAATAAAAAATAATATATGATAACGATATTAGAAAATTTATGAAATTTACAAACTAATACACAAAGAAATAATAATATATTATGTATAAACTGTTCATATAGAAAAATATCGAATTCTTTAATTAACTCTTTTAATTGGCTGTGTTTACTTTGGTCTGATGATTTAAACAATCTTGAAGCGTGATTTCTCCTTGCTTTCTTTAAAGACTGCGTGAATATATACAAACATTCTGAAAGTCATCGAAATAAACATCCGCGAGAAGAAACAATGATCCTTTCATGCGCTTAAGCGCTGTAAACAAAATATTACGAGGACGTTCGAGTTACAACACACTCACTAAGTTACGTCTGGCAACATAATCCGAGGAATGCATAGAGATGGAGAAAAGAGGAGGGAGAGGGTTTCATCTTCATATAAAGGTGTAAAGTAAGCTTACTCCGGTTCATATTGTCAGTGACCGTCAAGGGTGGTCAAAGACCGATCGTGCGCAGTGAAAGAAAAGAGAACGGAACAAATTAGAAAAAAAGTTTTCTCTAGCAATTTGTTTCTATTTTTTATACATGACGTATATACATATTTACACGCATATTAACTTTTTTCACGCACGCACAAAGAATATATATTCGAAAAATATTCCTCGCACAACGTAGCGTAACGTAACGCCTACAAAAGATGAGAAAGAATCGAATTCTTGTTCTTCTAGATCTTATTTACAATCGTCCCTTTATTTTATTACTTTTTGGATTCCTTCTCTTCGGCCTTCCTGTATTTTAGTAGAACCCAACTCCAAGAGTTGGGTCACAAGAGTTATAAAATCTGGAAGGTTTCAGGACCGCAGTGAAAATTCATCTCAGTCAACGATTGTGATTCTATTCATTTAGACGCTCTCGATTCATCTTTTCTGTTATAAATAAATGGCATTTAATGGTAAATTATAGTGGGCGTCACAAACAAGTGTCAACTCTTTAAGCGCTTGCTGATCGTGATTTTAACATCAGTGTCAGTACCTACCGATTTTAGTGAACAAATATAATAAATGTTTGACCGTATGGAGTGCATGTGATGGTGTAACAATAATACTCGACAAAATTAATAAATTAATGTTTTTAAGTCACTAATTTGTGTTTTTAAGTGAGTAATGAAAAGTTATTTCACATTTTCTGTTGTTTTTTTTGTTTTTATTTTTATTTATTATATATATTAGGAGAGAACGTTACATAATTTTCGCGCGACGCATGTATTAAAAATGAAAATTGTACGTATATGTTTGTAACAAAAATATTTAACAAAAATATTCATTTATGATGTATGTGTGTATATTTTTATATTTACGTGTGTGACATTTTGTTAATAAATCGGTAATAAAGACTGACAGATGTGCACAATGTGCAACAAGCGGTTGTTTGTACAATCAACTATTTTGCACAAAATCTTTGATAAAACTCCTTTTTTATGAATATATTTTTTTTAATGGAAAAGATTCCTCAAATTCTAACCTTTCTTTAGTTACGTAATACATATAACCTTATTTAGCTCTAAACTTCTGCTGTGTATGTCGAACACGTTAATTTGTTTATATAACAAAATCTTTTTTAATTTTTACGTTTATTATTTGTTACACTGTCACATTCATATATGAGCGCATATCTAATTTTAGTTTTGTCACTACAATGAACAGGACATGATCTCTGGACCTCTCTTAACAACAAAGCAAACTTAAAACACTTCGTGCCGCAATATATCATCGATTTCAAGAGGAAAACCATTAGATTCGCCAAGACGCTGATGATTGAATTGGCGGAAGAAATGGACTCGATAAGCGAAGACACTTTGATGTAGGTAAAGCGCGATAGTCAAATAATCGCGTGTGAACAATTCAATACAATAGTATCAATAAAAATGTCAACAAAACTTAACTTAGAGATCAAACTGTTAAAATGTGTTAATAAGACGCATTGGAAACACATACCACTGTGATTTTTAGGTTTAAGATTGAAATTGATTTGAGTCGCGTTACAAATGTTGCAAAGAGTTGTTCCTTGTTTCTCACAAAGGGACAGGTGTGTGTGCTTACTCTTTCGACGTTTGCGCGCTTCGTTTTACACTCGACGATCGATAGACCGACGTATAAAGCGCGTGAGCGCTCTGAAGCTAACGTATGTAAATGTAGAAGTCTAAATTGCAAAGTGCTCGTTACGCGCCGACTAATCGCAGACGATAAGCACAAGGCCGTTTTATTTGGCTAATTAAAATAAGACAATCCGTCTGACAGACGGTTCTGTCTAATCGCAAAAGCGCTAAAAGAACAATACGCTGAATTCAACTTGCAAATTTCGACTTATCGCGAAACAAAATGAAAAAAATTAATTTCGCATCTCGCACACTTGATCGCAACAAAGAGAATAATGTAGCGAACAATTGGTTGAAACGTCGAGAAAGCAGCTTTGTTTTCGAGTCGAGAAAAAGCAAAGAAAAAAACGATATGTCAAAAAAATATACAGCCAAAATGTAATTCTCTCACGAGAGGATTAATCGATATAAGAAGATTCCTTACGACGTAATGTGCGCAGTCCGTGAACTCCGGTGATACATTATATTTTTATAGTTCGGAGCCTCATTCCAATCACGTCTCGCGTATCAAAATGATTCGCATCTTTACGCATGTACATTTTGTCCAAATGTCTTCTATTTTGTAATCGTAATATTTCGCAATATGTAATTCTCCGAATAACATAATCTTATTTTTCTATGTGTAATTTCAGCGCGAGAATCTTATCTCAGGACGTGAGTCAACATTCAGTTCCGTTTTGTGAAGAGAAGCACCGAGATGGAGAGCAACAGACGAGAGAAAAAATACAGATTCGTGGAGTTACCGATGATAACATCGTAAATTTGGGTAACACGTTCAATGCTTCTCAAGTTATCGCGAATCGCGGTAGAACACGTAACAATAGCAACGATCATCAGAAGACTGAAACTCAAGAATGTAGCTCGTCATCAGAAAAAACGCTACGCAGTTCTCGTAACGTAGAAGGTGAGGAACCGATAAGATCGACTTCTTATGTAACAGATACATGCGCGGAAAGTTGTTTAGAATTGTTAAATGAGAAGGTAGGCGAAAATATAACAATGATCATGTCGCATAAAATAAAACTAAATTTACGATCTATGGATAAGGAAAGAATTAATCAAGACAAAAATGTATCTTTACCAAATGAAAAAAACAATCTTAAAATAATATTAAAACGAATACTAGAATGTCCAGATAACAATCGTCAATCAAAAAAAACGAAAAGAGACAAAAGTTATGCGTCGTTCAATGACAGTAATGTGGAACCGTTTTCCGAGAACAAAGAAGACAGTAATAAAGAGGAAACGCAAAATTGTCAAGCTCAAAATTGGCGAGTAATAAAGAAAAAACGCAAAATTGACAAGCTCTCATCTAGCGTTTCTCAAAAGAGTGTGGCGAGTACAATTCCAGCAGCAGCAGCAGCAAAAACCTTAGAGAATTCTTTGGCGCATTATGCTGCAGATAATAGTGACATAGATAGTACACTAAGTACTGTGGAAGGTAGCGAAGAAACGTCATTGTTTATGAATAAGTCGATAATAGAAGAAAATATAAGAAACAAAAATAAGAAAATAGATATTTTTGTAAACGAAGCAGATCAGAGACACGTGATACAAAGTTCGCAGAAACAACAAGAGAATCAAGAACCATTTATCGTGGAACACGCTGATTCAACAAACAACGTGGAGAAGCAAGATAATGAAGAAATATCATCATCATTTTCAGAAATGATACATGTAGAAGAGAATGCAAAAATTAAACAAAACGAAATTATTGAAATTAATTTTTTAAACGAAAACTCTCGAAGTCAAAAGTCAAGCTCAAAATCGTCAAATATATCCACAACAGAGTCTTCGTTTGATGTTCAAGATAATGATCTTAATAGTTGTGATAAATCACAAATCCATGAAACATTGTCATGTAACAATACTTTAACAAAAGATGTGATGAAAACTGTAATAGGCGATCGCTTGCCAACAACAACAATATCTCTTTCCAAATCGATCTTCCCCGAAAAATGTTCTTCCCAAAATAAATGTGTCGACAACGAAATATCCTCCGTAGCGATAGCAGATTTGCCATCAGATAATTGTGTTAACGAATCACCGACCACTGGTGACGGTAATACTGAATTAGAGTTACAAATAAGACCCAAGACGCATTCTGAAGCGATTCAGACATTCTCTGTGAAAGCATCTTTGGATTCATTGAATACATGTTTGGACAAATATAAGGGCAATCCTGAGGCTCTTTTAAAACTTTTAAAGTGCAACTCAATTACAAGTGCGGAACAATCTGAAAAGCAACAAGACACGCAAATCACAAGTGAAAATAGTTCTGAATCAATTAATAAGTGCAAAACATCCGATCCGAAGCAACAATCGGCAGAGAATCGTCCGAATGGCAACGAGAATACAACAGACGAACAGACACTCAAAACAAAGAGTTACGGGAATATAAAAGTCCGATCTTGGGAAGAGCTCAGCTCTCCAATATTATCTTCTACCTCACAAATAGAATCTAATATATTTAATTTAAGATCCAACTCGCAGGTGCCGAGCCAAGTTACCAACCAAGGTCCGTCGTGTACAGAATACGATGGTATAATTCCATGTACTTTACATTGCATTAAAAAAAAGTTCGTAGAAGTCAGAAGTGCAATACAAAATATCATGATTAGCTTACATTGTATTCGCTCCGTTACATGTCCCACAATGCAATATAGCATTCTTTCTAAGCAACAAGTGCAAGAGATGAAAGATAATATGGCGAAATTAAATACAAATATAAGTAAATTGAGAAAGTTGCTACACGTAAGAAGTAATGAGGATGCAATTAAGTTTTTTAACGATTGTACAGGTTTGTCGTATCTAACGGCCGAGAAATACATCGGATTAGCCAATTTGATAGATGACTACTCTCAGTTCTACAAGTTAGCTAGAGGAACTTATCTTAATATATCACATCTTACCAATAACACTTCTCATAATTTTAATTCTACATGTAATAAGACGCAAATGAGTTCGCAAAGTGCACTCTCATCTTCATACGTGTCACCTTCAGACCCTACGAGAACATCAAATCACGATAGATCACAATCTTCGACACTGTCAAATGCCTTTCCGACGAACTCGAATATCAGCTACCAACAATTTTCAACAAATACCAGATATCCAAACCAACATGCGTCAAGTAGTTATCAACAACAACAACAACAACAACTTGCAAATAATATTCTACCTTCGTCATACCTGAACAAAATAACATCGCCTTTAGGTGCTCAAAATGCAAATCATGTTTCATCTCCGCCATATTCAGACGGAGTGACATCGACATCAAGTGTTCAACGCACGAATAATGTTCCACCTTCGTCGTACCCAAACAGGGTAATATCGGTGTCATTTGCTCAACAGGCTCCTATAAATTTGAATAACGTCACGTACACAACGAGTGCGTTTGGATCGAATAATATTAATGTGTCTGGATCCGCATGTCAAACAAGTATGTATCGCACATTTCTCACCGTATATCAGATTTTATCCTTAATATCTAAACATTTAAGATTATTATTCAAATAGCATATATCACCTGAAACAATAATAACATTAACATTACAGATGCTTCCTTAAATAGGGGGATGCCTCAAACCACATCGTCTCAAATCGTACAGCCAGATATGCCTGTTGTGATTCTTCCGACAACGCAGCAAACTGTGCCGCAGCAAAATGTGGCAAACATATCTATGAAATATTTTGTCTTAGCAAACAAACAACAAAACTCAGCAAATTTAAATATTCAGCAGCACAGTTTCGCAAATCCGTCTGTGCCGCAGCAACAACCAACAAATTCGTCTATGTACCAACGAAATCTGGCCAATTCGTCTGTGCAGCATCAGATTTTAACAAATCCGTCTTTGCAACAACGAAATGTAGTACTAAACCCATCTATGCAGTATCAAACCTCATCGAATCTTTCTGTACAACATACACAACAAGAAAGTCACTTAACAAACGCACACGTGCAGCAACTACAGTTACCGAATTTGTCTGAGTATCGGCAAAATCTAGTCAATTCGTCTAAGCGGCCTCAAACTTTCGCTAATCTTCCTACGCAGAAAAACGATGCGGCAAGTTCGCTCATGCGGATGCAACATTTAGCGAACATAGCTACGTATAAACAAAACACAGCAAATCCGTCTGTACTGAGGCAACTTTTATCAGCAAATCAATTGATATCGCAGCAAAATTCACGACAAAACTTGTGCCATGCGAATTGCGCGGAATGTTTGCAAATTGTATCGAACAATTTGCAAAACATTAGGAAAAATCAAAACTCCGCACACGTACATACATCGACAGGTCGAAGCGATACGATCGCTGTATCGAACAATTTGCGAAACATTAGGAAAAATCAAAACTCCGCACACGTACATACATCGACAGGTCGAAGCGATACGATAAATAATTCAATGACAAACGCTCCAAACTCCGTGTTTAACAGTACGGTAGAAATTTCAAAACTTCAGAATAACAATAATACAACAAATAAAACACGAAATCAACAAGATGTGTATCAAGAATTTACAAACGCACAACATTTATCGCAAGAGTCATCTACACCAATCGCGCCACAAACTTCCACGTCGCATAATTCAAGACACTTACAAGATACAACATGTGATACACTTTCAGGGAAAGATCCAAATATTACATTAGAAGAACTTATTACCTCTAATAAATTTTACTTAGATTTAGACTTTTTAACGGATAATGAAAAATTTGTATTGTGCAAACAGTTAGGGTCGTATTGCAAAATACTTATGTGGATACGTAAAAATGCGTCAAGGAACATTCCTGAAAAACTCGAGGAAACAATACAATGGTCATTATTTTTACACAAATATATGCGCCACCGCACAAATGAGATTTTGAAAGACTTTTATTCGGATAATCAGTTAGAAATCTCGCAAGATAATTCGACGTCGATAACGGAGACAATATCCGAAGAAAATATAGAAGTCTCGACCACGAAACAGCTATCGGAAACACGCTCAAACGTGCCGGAAGAAGACGATTCAATCACAAATACGTCTTGCAACGAGTCAGGAGCTGAAAAAACGAAAGCTCTTGATATGCCAGAAATTGACAAAGACTTAAACGAGAATCCAGAAACAGCAAATAGTAATGTAAATAAGATAGAAAACATGTGTAAAACATCGAAGAACGTAGTAATAAACATAGAAAATAAAGATAACGCACATTCCTCGTGTAACAACGAAGATCAAATTGAGAAAGTAGATAATGTTCTCAACGATGTTCAGATAACGCACAATAATAATAATGAAGAAAACAACCAATTTAAACCTAGAAGCCAAAGTATCATATCGTACGCGCCTCGTAGTTCGACGCCAATTGCATCGTCGAATAATTTGAAATTGCCTTCGTTGAACGAATGCAAATGCACCAGAATATCTCAGACTTGCGTACACTGTAAACATATAGTCGAGATAATGGGATTGCATTTTGATACGGAAGAAGATAATAACGAAAAAGCGTTAGCGGTTGCCAGTTTCCACGATACCTCTGATGAAGGATGTGACTTCGATCCGGAGAGATTGGTGATCGACGAACAGGATAGCACGATCACATGTAACGAGGAAGATAATCATTTATCAGATGCGACATTATCCCAATCACGTGTCTTGGAAAACGATGCGGAAGCAGATTCGTGTCAAACTACTGCAAATGAAGCGCAAGATACATCAAATATTAATCAAAAAAGTTCGATACAGTCGGCCGATACCGACGTGATCTCAACAGAAGATGCGATGAGGAAAAAGGAGAACGTGGACACTCACAGTGGTGTTAAGACTATTAACAAAATATTTGAACGCGTGACCGTGTACAAACGCTACGCAAGTCCGCGAATTCCCGCGCGTAAGTTAAGAGTCCAGCTCGAATCCACGAACGTAAAAAGATACGCTTCCAACGAAGACGATAGTCTTAGCAGCGAATGTGCTTCTAACACTGATTGTAATACTGCAATATTACAATCCCTATCTGATACAGATAATCACGATAAAGAAGACAGCAAAGATAATTGCGAAGCATTCGTTGAAAAGTCGGATGACAAAACGTGGACTATTACTAAAGAAGATAACGACAAATTAACAACAAAGAACGACACGCACACACCCTATTTCAATGATTACGAGATGATCTCTGATTACGAGGAGGACGCGGTCGTCGTGAAAACTGAAGACGATGTCACATTACAATCTCCAGATACGAATGTGAAAGAAGATACTGAAGATGCTCTTGACAACGAATCTGTTCCTAAAATCGAAAAAATTATGACACCGCAACCACCAGTTGCAGAAGAGAATCAAAATAAGGAAGAGTACAAGGATAACTGTAAAGTATCGAGTGAAGAATCGAATGATGAAGCATCAAACAATATTAATAAGAAAGAGAAATATGAATCAACTAAAATTAACTTGCACACAAATTACATTACTGATAACGAGGAAATTTCTCATATTACCGAACACAGGGTTCTTTCTCCTAAGACTGAAGACGATATTGAATTAGAATTTTCTGAGGATGCAATTATGAAAGAAGATATACTCGTCGAAGACGAATTGAAAAATGAAAATGTTCCTGGAGCTGAAAATGCTCCTGACAAATATGTACCTAATACTGAAGAAAATGTGACTTTGCAACCTTCATTTACTGCAGAGAAACAAATTGAGGAAGAGTGCAGATATAACTGCGAACCATCTGTTGAAGAGTCAGATGGTGATATTAGTAAGAAAGATAGTGACAAATTAGTAACGACAAATGAAAATCGCACGTCATGTTCTAATGAGACAAACGCTGAAGAAGATGTGACGCTGCTAGAGGAATTTCAATTCGATGAAAATAATATTCTCAGTCCCGAGACAACTTATCAAATCGAAGACGCTTTTAACAACAAATTGGTTATTGACACCGAGCTTGGTGCAACATTGCAACTTCGAATTAGTACGGAGGATCGAAATAAAGAAGAGCACAATAATGATGACCATGACGTATCGAGTAATGAACTTTCAAATAATTCCGAGGAGAATATTATGATTTCCGAATCAGACGTGAGAAAACTTTCGTGCGATTCTGAACAAAATGATGAGGTAGAAATCTTACCGACTATTCTCCAAGTACAAAGCATATCTGAATCGATGTTTAATGAAATAGATAATATTATTTGCGATATTGAAATTGCTCAAAATAACGCGAAAAAATTGGATAGTAAGAATGAGATTTCTCAAGTTAACGTAGAAGAAGTCGATGTGGAAGAAGAAAATAAAACAGATTTTTTTACGGGAGATAATAACAATACAAAAAGTGACAACGAACACATACCGTGCTTGCGTTGCAAACGCACAAGCACGGTATATTGCGAAGCGTGTCTGAGCGCTACTTATTGTTCCAAGCGTTGCGCGAGTTTGCATTGGAAGTCGAAACATCAAAAACTATGCACGCGCAAATATGATCCGTTGTAAGCAATATTATTTATTGACTTGCACGACAGATAAGACTAATATTTTATTAACTAACTACGTTACGTTTTTTACATTCTTTACTATTTTTTATAAACAACGATAAAAAAACAACGATAACGAAAAAAAAGAACGTGATACACATTGTGGTGCATTGACACACGCGTTATTTTTTTATAGCAGTACTTTGCCAACGTGCCGCAGTATACGTCATTGAATACGCGCAAAAAGACTAAAAAAAAAAAAACATTAAAAACAGTTAATTATTATTGCTATCAATAATAATCTCTTTTTCTCTCATTCTCATGATTTCTTCTTGCACATAAACAACTGCGATCAGGTGAAGAGAATTCTAATAAAAATCAAAATGTTTACGTAATGTTTGCTCACTAACAATATGTTTATTAATAGTATCCTATAGATGTTGGTAATGTTCATTCTAATAGCCTCTCTTCATTAAGTATGTTTAATGTAACACTGATGCATAGATGTAATTTTGTGTGACATTCTGTGCATGTGATTCTATATACTTGTGGAAGTTGTGTGTTGATGATGTTATTACGTAAGATCTGAATGAAATTCCAAAGATAGATAAGAGAAATAAGATAGATAATATGTTTTGGTTTTATAACATGAAAAAGTAGTTTTTATGTTATAAAGTTATTTATAGTACCTACGTTATATACACTATTATTTTTTCTACTTATTATTTTGTATATAAATTGCCATTTAGTTGTAAACATTATCACTTATGTTGAGAATTTTGTACTGTTAAAGAGAATTTTGTCTGTTAGAAACATTCTCTGATATTTCACTAGATTATGAAAAGTTACAAAACTTGTTTTTTTCTTAAAAAAAAAAAAACTAACCGTATATTAGAATATACGATTGTATTTTGCCTATTAAGGTTTTATTGTTATAAGGCTTACATGTAGTGAAGTCTTCCTGATTTATGACGAAAATATTTTTATACGTGATACTGTGAATATCATTTTTATATTTTAATAAAAAAAAAAACATGTTTAGTTTGTTTTGTTTGTTATTTTTTGTTTTAAACCTTTATAGTGCAGCCACATTTGTCTTCTATGATAATTATCATGTCTACCTTCTCTGTGTATGTATGTTCTATGGGTATAAGGTACTTTCTAATATGTAAGACGAACAACTTTGCTAAAATATACAGGCTCCGCGCAATTTTCAGAGTCCACTTTCTCATACAGACGGATTTAGATTAACTTTGACGATTCAGATGGGCCGCATATAAGAGATGACAAATCGCAAAATTATGATAATCTCTTATATGTCGGTTTTACTTTGAACCGATTGAAAATTAATTTAATTAATGTATAGTGAAAAATGTCTCACAAAACAATTCAATATGAGTTAGAATACATACCAGTAGTGACCACTGTATGTCAGTGGTTTATTCTTACCAAGATAAACGAAGTCAATTCCAATCCATTTATGCGACGTCGATGAACTATCTTTGCCTTCGTTCTACATGTTCTCTTACAATTAGCGTGCTTTTTCTTTCTTCCTTCTACGATTCTACCTATTAAATAGAAGAGAATCTGATCTGATCCTTCCCTGCCGATCGCATCTTTCATCGTATCATCTACATACAAGCGATCACTTTGGCACGTAACAATTGATGAAATAAGATGTGATAAGTATTTATGTAATACCTGTATGTACAATTCATGTGATAACTATGTATTGTGATAATTACGAAACTGTTTGATGTGATACTTGTATGCACAATTTCTGTGTGATAACTATTGTGATAGTCACAAAAAAAAACTTTTTGATGTGATAATTACATGTTTCTACACAATAACACACACATACACACGCGCACATGTACACATTCTTTCTATGTTAAATAATTGTATGTAACTGTGCCAATTATATATAATTGTGATAATTATTACATATATATGTTATGCAATGAAAATTATAAAATTTATATAATCAATACAATATAAATTATTATACATGTGTGAAAAAATTAGAATTAATATACTCGTCAAGTTCGATGAAATCTATAAAAATGAGTTTATTGTAAATTACGTCGGTAGACCTACCAGAATCTGTAAAATAAATTGCGGTGAGAGAACTGCGACCAATCTTCCAAAGAGATACAATGTATTCAAATTAAAAACAACAGACATGCGCTATTTTCTTTTGATAATCTTTGTTGTAAAAGATCTACAAAAACTGTGAAACCATCATTATTATATTTCAATTCATTTCACAAAAAATCAACATTGTTTTCACAGAAAAATGTTTTTGTATAAATATTATCTGAAACTAATAAATGATTTCATTTAATTTCATCTTTGATACATGAGACTTTGGTTTTACTTGCTTTCTTTCTTGACCTTATACGCAGTCTTTTGCAAGTGCAATATCTTTTGAAAAAAATTAATGCTTCAATTATTAAAACTGTAAAAATTATAGTTAGGCTTTATATTATCATACGTATTAACTATATGAGATACCTGAAGGAATATATATAGTACAGATATCAAATAATCTTTGCTGAGATTTATTGATTGAATCTCTTCTATGAGCAGTACAATATAGAATATTTATAATACAGAGAATGCTAGAAGAAAATTTGACTTTTTTCTCACTTTAAATAAAGTTATTCATCCTCATAACCATCGGGTAGAGGATTGACATGTGGGTTGTGGAACAAACTATGATTGCCATCACCCCATGGAAATGGCTGAAATCACGAAGGAATGGTAACAACATGAAAGATTACGCATATCACATATTAACAAATGCAACATTGTTTCAGGATGTATCTACTTCCCACAGTAAACACGTCCTGATATCAATGAAATATCTTATACCTTAGTTCTTATCCTCAGATGATCATATTTGATGAATTCCGGACGCTCATCGTGCGCGTGAGCTTGATGATTCAAATAGCAATTAACCATTGCCAAACCAATGGCTGGAAAAGCTACCAAGAACGTGAGTCTCTTCCATAGAACAGCAGCCTGCTCTGTGAAGCGCACAATGCGTTGTTGTTATGTAATATTGTCACATAACTTATTTGATATATTCCTGACTTCTTTTGATAAGAAGATACAACGTATTGCAATTCTTCGAACGGAAAGTGAGACATTTAAAAAGAATCGATTAAAAAACAATCAACGTTGATATGAAAGTTAATGTCAAGAGCAATCAGTATTTTCAACGCGTGACATTTAAATGCTCGATCGTTTCGGAAACGCAGATGAATAGATTTTATTCCAAACCCTATTATATTTTACTCACCTGAGCCTTGGTGTTTGGCAGCAGCGGATGCAAAATTTCTGGAAAAAGAATAACCAAATTTCACCCAACTAGCCATTTTTACTATTACACTGCACTCCGCTCAGCTGCGATTTGTTGCCCCTTTTTTTCCTTTTTCTGCAATACCAGAGAGAAGCCTGAGAGCGGCCAGGTCCATAAGAGAATGTGTAATCACTTTTCCGCCTCGTAAACTAGCGCATGTCCACAAGTGGTACACATTGGAACTACGCAGCCAGTCAACGAGCGACATGTCGGTGCGATATGTCCACAGCGTGCGGTTCTATTCTGTGCTATGTGCACGTGTTTAAATGGTCACTTTCTTTAAGTGTGCGAGTATATTCGAGAGCGTGAATTTGATTTTTTTGAAATTTAAAAGGACCGATCTCGTGATGAGAAGATGAGAAAGAAAAACAGAAAAGAATAAGAAAAACCATTGCAACTTTTCGTACAACATAAATGTGATATACTCGAAAAGATGTGATAGTTAAGAAAAGAATCTTATTTTAGCGAGCAACATCAGAATTCGTGGAGTGTAGTCAAAAATCATCTCCTTTTACATCATCATTTGCTGCTCTGTGGTTTATAAATTTTATTTTATTTTCTTAAAAACACTCCATATATATATAGATAAGAAACTGGACATATTAGAATTCTTGCAAATTCCCGAACATAATTTCTGTTTGTAAGAAAAATTATAGGACAAGAGATCTTTCTAACACACGGTTTTAAATTCCTTAGTATGATATTGTAAGTTGATATACATATATGTCAGTTGAAACAAAAATAACTGTTAATGTTATAGATAATAATTTAAGAGATAGTTTTATATTTTTTTAAATATTTTAAGAACCATTTGGCATAAGATGTTTCTTACGTTTAAGTTTTGCGAGGAAATGTTGCGTTCATTCCCATAAGTGTTATTTAAATTTATTCAGGATATTTGTCTTTTTATGTCACAAATGTAATAGACGATGTAAAACTTCAATTGGCTAAACATTTACCATTTTATTTTAGCACAAAATGTTTACGGAGACTGAGTGACTAATAGAGTTAAAAAAAGAGACCGATTGTGAGAATGGTTACTAACGTCGCAATATTATATATATTACGAAAACTGTTCTCTGAATCCTTTAGATTTAATAAGTCATTACGTTGATTATTAAAAATCTACACAAAATTCGACACAATATTCGATAAGTATTGAAAATAAAAGACTTGCATAATATTTCGTCCGTTATTTATATTTTTTTAATTATTTATTTATTTATTTGTTTATTTATTTATTTATTTATTACCTGCCTTTCTCTCTTTATTTTATTTTACACGCTAATAAATAATCAAGCGAACAAGAGCACAAGATTTATGCGCAATAGTCTTGGTCGTTGGAAATATGTAAACGCTGAAAACGAGCTAAAATCAAGAGAAGGTATCAGGGAAGTATGTCTTGCGAGTAGGTATACGCGCCAGCTCCTGGGCGTGTACATAGCGCGCTTGACCCCACCTCGCGCGCGGCAGCCATTATGGAGCACGCGCGTCGGCCATTATGGAGCGCTCGCGCCTCAGCCAATCACCGCGCGACTCACGGCGCGCAGGAGGCGTTGGGGGGACGCGTAGCCTCGCCCACAGATACCTCTCGCATTACCTCTTCGCACAACATGTATTCCTGATACATTCAGCGATTTTTCGAGGCTCTCAGAGGACGCGCAACTCACCTTACCGGCTCAATTCTCTTGCTATTTCTTTCTCTCTTGCTTAATTCTCTTACATTCTTTCAATAATTTGTCAATCTTTAAACAATAATTTATAAATTTATTATAAATATATGTATGTATATAAAACATACTATTTATTATTAAGGATTAATAGATGTATGTATGTATATAACGTACACGTAAAAATAAACAATTATGATAAGAATGTAAGTAATCAATTTTGATGCATATAAATGTATAAATTATATATGCATAATTATATATGCGATATAACTTATAAATTATATATGCGTAATTATATGTATTAGCGATATGACTTATAAATTATACATGTGTAACAGTAAAATGTATAAGTAATTATCATATTTTGTATATTGAGAAACAATAGAAAAAGTAACAATAAATTAGATTGAGTTTGCAATGTGTTTTCCAGCACCAAGGATTTTATTATTCTGTTATTATTACATAATATTGAAAATGTTTCCATTATTTTAATTTGTTTGAGAGTCCCGGGCACACATACTGTATGAATTTATAACAGAAGTTTATATACAAATACATAAACTTTATATATCTTTTTGATAAATATATATTACATATATTTATTTTTTATTTTTATTAAATATCCTTGTGTTTATAAAATGTTACCATTAATGATTAATCTTTTGCAAGTATAACTTCAAATATAACACAAATGACACACAACTTAATATATAAAAACCTAAACAAATACCTTTTACAAATTATTCTAATTATAAACTTAAAGGAAATTATAGATAGAAAAGCTATACATTTTATCACCTGCAAAATATATATAACACAAAGAAAATTACGTATTTGTGTTACTACCGGGAATTTTTTCTTGGGTATCGATACACTTTAAACATGCACTTAAAAAATATGTGCACGTAACAATTCAGCCTTTAATTATTTCAATTCGATAAAGTCTTACGTATATAACATATACATTGCGACGTTAGTAACCATTCTCACAATCGGTCTCTTTTTTTAACTCTATTAGTCATTCAGTCTCCGTAAACATTTTGTGCTAAAATAAAATGGTAAATGTTTAGCCAATTGAAGTTTTACATCGTCTATTACATTTGTGACATAAAAAGACAAATATCCTGAATAAATTTAAATAAAACACTTATGGGAATGAACGCAACATTTCTTCGCAAAAATTAAACGTAAGAAACATCTTATGCCAAATGGTTCTTAAAATATTTTAAAAAATATATAACTATCTCTTAAATTATTATCTATAACATTAACAGTTATTTTTGTTTCAACTGACATATATATCAACTTGCAATATCATACTAAGGAATTTAAAACCGTGTGTTAGAAAGATCTCTTGTCCTATAGTTTTTCTTACAAACATAAATTATGTTCGGGAATTTGCAAGAATTCTAATATGTCCAGTTTCTTATTTATATATATATGGAGTGTTTTTAAGAAAATAAAATAAAATTCATAAACCACAGAACAGCAAATGATGATGTAAAAGGAGATGATATTTGACTACACTCCACGAATTCTGATGTTGCTCGCTAAAATAAAATTCTTTTCTTGACTATCACATCTTTTCTGGTATATCACATTTATGTTGTACGAAAAGTTGCAATGGTTTTTCTTATTCTTTTTTGTTTTCTTTTCTCATCTTCTCATCACGAGATCGGTCATTTTAAATTTCAAAAAAATCAAATTCACGCTCTCGAATATACTTGCACACTTAAAGAAAGTGACCATTTAAACTCGTGCACATAGCACAGAATAAAACCGCACGCTGTGGACATATCGCACCGACATGTCGCTCGTGGACTGGCTGCGTAGTTCCAATGTGTACCACTCGTGGACTGGCTACGTAGTTCCAATGTGTACCACTTGTGGACATGCGCTAGTTTACGGGGCGGAAAAGTGATTACACATTCTCTTATGGACCTGGCCGCTCTCAGGATTCTCTGTTTCTACTCCTACAGCCTTACTGCCTTCATTGTAGACTAGCCAGAAGACATAAAAAAATCAACCAATCCAGCCTTCCATTTTCATTCCTACTTCTTGTTCTAGAAAGCTTTGATGTGGTTGATTCTTTTATGTCTTATGCGTTATGCATTACGCAAAAGTCTGTGCTTTGGTCTTTAAATGCCCTTTAAAGAAAGGCTCTCTGTTTATGTTGTGGTTACAGAATAGAACTGTAAAGGTTATATGCGTGCAAGAGAGTAAAGAATTTATTTATTATTGTAAATAAAGCTACCAAAACAGTATAGTTATACGTGATAAAATAATAATGAGTGGCAAGCGTGAACACGAGGAGAGCGATACGGAAGATGGATGGATTGGACCATTACCTTCGGAAGCTGCACCGCAAAAGAAGCAAAGAGGTTAGCCTGTACTAAAGACTTTTTAGACCAATTTCTCAATAATAAACAGAAATTAAAATGACTCTTTGCATGTTTTATAACTATTTTGATTCATTCCTTCTTTTTATTCTTATTACTCACATTTTATAATCATTGAATATATAAAAGTGGTCTTTTCAGGTTTTCAAGTATCTATTTGTATCTCTAATTGTAGTTTGTTTGTTATTTGACACATTTCTTGATAAAGGAATCTCGTAAGTTATTTGTTCAATATTTCCAATCTTTTGTAGTGCTAGAGTATGAACAGGTGTACATTGATAACTTGCCCTGCTGTGAATGCTATGAAAAATCTTACATGCACAGGGATGTTATCACTCACATTTTAGTAACAAAGTAAGTATATTTGAAAAATGTTTTTGTTAAAGTATAAAATAGTATTTGTTAACGTATACTTATCAGAACACATTGATGCAGGTCCAACTTTGTCATAACTGCTAGCTGTGATGGACATGTAAAATTTTGGAAGAAGCAGGAAGAATTAATAGAATTTGTAAAACACTTTCGTGCACATTTAATGACAATACAGTCAGTGTCTGCTAGCTGCAATGGCGTTCACATGTGTTCAGTTAGTATAGACAAAACTATGAAGATTTTTGATGTTATTAATTTTGGTGAGTATTAAAACTTTTATATGTATATGTTTGTGTAAGTGATTTATATCTTTCAGGTGTATTTATAAATAAAAGAAATATCTCAAAATTTTCATCTTGTTTTTCTTGTTTTGTTAAAGATATGATAAATATGATAAAGTTGGACTTTGTGCCGCTTTGCGCTGAATGGATATATTCAGCTGGCGATGCTATATCTGCGGTAGCAGTGTCTTCACAAGAATCAAATAAAATATATGTTTATGACGGTCAAGGAACAAATACACCTCTACGTGTACTTGAGAATTTACACACTAAACCTGTAGTTGCTATGAAGGTAAGAGAGTAAGTTTAAGGAAATATATCAAAGGTTTCATTGATCTTATTAAAAAAATAAAACAATTATGTTTTCTTGCAGTACAATCCCGTTTACGAAACATGTATCTCAGTGGATAAGGCGGGAATATTGGAATACTGGACTGGTCCAAAAACGGAATACAAGTTTCCCAAATGCGTATCATTTGAATCAAAGTTAGACACTGATCTATTCGAGTTTGCTAAAAATAAAACTTATCCGTGTGGTTTAGCAATCTCACCCGATGGCAAACGATTCGCATCTCTCAGCGGTGATAGAAAAGTTAGAGTTTTCAATTTCCGAACGGGCAAGCTGTACAGGGTATTTGACGAAGCGCTTCAAAGATTTAGCGAATTGCAACAAACTGTACAGCAATTGCCAAACATGGAGTTCGGACGTCGGTAAATGCGCGTATATTTTCCATAGTTTATTCTCTTAAGATGGAGTTTTAATTAAAAATGTTGATAATTTTATTTTTATTATAGAATGGCCGTTGAAAGAGAACTGGACAAAACCGAGACGAATTTGGGAAATATCATTTTCGACGAATCCGGTTATATTATTTTATATCCTACCATGCTGGGTATCAAAATGGTAAATCTTTACACAAATCGTTGTATCAAAATCATAGGAAAACCCGAAAACATACGACCCATGCATCTGGCATTATTCCAGGTATGCGCCACGAGTTGAGTAATTATCACGAGAATCGAAAACCACAATCGTCATTAATCTGTAATATTGTGTTTTAGGGTAAAGCGAGAAAGACCGCCGCTGTGACTGTCGAAATGGAGGCTTCTGAAAATCCCACGTTGGAGATGAACCGACCCGATCCGACGTTGTTTTGCACAGCCCACAAGAAAAATCGCTTCTACATGTTCACGCGACGAGAACCGGAAGACACGAAGAGTCAGGAATGCGACCGAGACGTCTTCAACGAAAAACCGTCCAAGGAGGACATCATATCCTCCACGGAAGCCACGAATGTACAGAAGATATACGATACCGCGATTGTTCACACGGCGCTTGGCGACATCCACGTGAATCTCTTCGGCAAGGACGTCCCCAAGACTGTAGAGAATTTCTGCGTCCACGCGAAGAACGGCTACTACAACGGTCACATATTTCACAGAGTTATTAAGGGCTTCATGATACAGACAGGCGATCCCACCGGAACCGGCACCGGCGGCGAAAGTATTTGGGGTGGCGAATTCGAAGACGAATTCAAGCCGCACCTGAAGCATGATAGACCGTACACATTGAGCATGGCTAATGCAGGACCGAACACGAACGGCAGTCAGTTTTTCATCACATTGACACCGACAGTGAGTACAATTTCGTCCAGCGTGAGATTTTGTTCTATATCGAACTATGCAGCATATTTTGATAATTTTTCTTTTGGATTACAGCCGTGGTTGGATAACAAACACACAGTGTTCGGCCGAGTCCACAAAGGAATGGAAGTGGTGCAAAACATAAGCCAAGTGAAGACGAATCCCAAGAGCGACAAACCTTACGACGACATACGAATAGTCAGTGTGACTGTAAAATAGTATTTTATCGAATAAAAAACTTGAGATTTTACAACTGCGTTTCTGTTTTTCATTATTTCGTGCGAACTAACTCCGTGAGTCGCTTCTGCCTTGCTCCATTTGGTGTAAAACTCCTCTGACGAAATTATACGTTCCCGTGCCGCAGGTGAACAAGTTGACGCTGAACAAATTGTAATTCTTGGGTGTGATCACCAGTGAATATCTGAATAGCATAAATTGAAGAGTGAAAGTTAAAGTACGTATCGTATCGCCGCGAACTTTGTAATTCCAAATATCTACCTGGACCATATGGCACCTGTGATCATGAGACTCGCGGTTTGGCTGAGAGAAATCGTATCCGCGGGTCGCTTCAAGTCTCCTATGCCCGCTAGTACCAAGCCCCATTTAAACGTCGGGGCCCAAAAAAATACTGTGGTCGGCCCTAATGATCGAAAACAAAAATTTTTCTCTTTTTACGATTTATATTCCTTTTTTTTTTTTCGAGAAAACTCTTTTTCGAGAACACGATTTTTTTCTAGAGGAACAATGTCGTAACCTGCGGGATGCAAAAACGCGGCACGGAATCTTTCGGGCAGCGCCGAGGCGATCTTCAACATTAATCTCTGATAAGCGCTGGCCATAATTCCGTCCGTAATTATATACTCCGCCAAATAGAAAAAAAAGAATTATATACTTCATACACCATTAGAATCATTTGAAACTTGTATAAAACGTTTTATAAAGTTTATAAACAAATTTGTATCTGCATGACAGTTTTTAAAGTGTACATGTCGCCGCGTATATTCGAGAAAAAAAATGCTACCAGAAAAAGCGTGTTCAAATAATCAGAATCGATTTTATCGATCTTGATTGTTGCCTCTTTTCCGCGACGTTGATTAGACGTCTCGGTGACGTTTCTCGGATAATGTGTTTCTCGATTCTTGTCATACTGTTGTACGTGTACTAGCTGTCATAATATATTATAATATATAATATATAATAATAATAATAATAATATATATATATATTTTAAATAATATATATATTATACATATAATTTATTATATATTTATAATGTTATACTTTATATTATATATTATATATATTATATACATACTACCGTAAGATCACTGACCTTGGTCGCGTGACTGCGGCGGGGTCACTGACCTCGGCCGCGCGGCCTTGGTGGGGAGGGGGTCACTGACCGCAGTCGCGCGACCGCGGCGGGGTCAATGACCTCGGTCGCGCGACTGCGGTGGAGTCACTGCCCTCGGCCACGCGACTGCGTTGTTTTTCCACTTCTCCCTCTCACTATTTTTTGAGTTTGATTTTCATGCGTTATTTCTGACATTTCTCACATGTGTATTATATGGTTTATAAGACGTATATACTATCTGTCATCGCGGTGACAGGTTGTGTTCACTGACAACACGTTAAATAAAAATAACAATAGCGTGCGCGTAGCGCGCGCCTGTGTTGTGCTAGTTTGTTAAAAAATCTATTATAGTTGGTTTGATTTTTTTTGTTTACGTTGAAAACTACAATTTCATCGTGTGTGCGCGCGCAACACCTTTTTCTCTTGGTTTCTCGCGAAAAGAAAAATTATCTGTCAGAATCAAAATAATTTGTGGCGCATAACGCGGAAGAGAGTGAAATCCGTCTTATTACAAGTTTTAATGAGAATACAAATTCCGAAAGAAATAGAAAAACAACTGCAACATGTCTTGCCACGTGTCTTGCCAGAGAGAGAAGAAGAAATCTGAGCCGTGTTGGAACGACATGGAAGAACTGAAGTATCTGATATGTGCCATTGATACCTGGTGCGCGAGACTTTGTAAAACTCTTTTGTGAAGATAAATTACCATCGGGGAGAGACCGTCGTGCTGTGAAAAAAAAAAAAAAGTTGCTTAGGTCATTTCTTTCCATTGTGCAGCAAATCTCCGAGCGTTCCGTCGCCGCCGTCGTGGAGCGTAATCCTACCCCCGCGAATTACGGAACTTCCTCTCTCAACTCCCGCTCGGAGACCGCCGTCTGTTCCGCCACCCCGATGTTGTCCGATCACTTTCGGACCGTGCTGTTCTCAACGTTCGTCAACGCCAATGACGATCTGTTCGAAACCGTCGAAACCGTCCTGCTCTTCCATCGAAGTCTGTTATCGTGCTATTTAAATAAAATGAACGGGAAAAATCTTACCTTTTGCTTTTTGTAGCAGAAATAAACGAGTTTATTAAAAATCCACATATAAAACATCCACTTTTATACTTTGTCGAGATTTCAACAAAAATCTATCTCTTTCTCTCTCTCTCTCTCTCTCTCTCTCTCTCTCTCTCTCTCTCTCTCTCTCTCTCTGCATATGCGATTTCGAATAAAAAATATACCCAATTTCCGGAAAGCAAAGCCGCGATACAAAAGCCACGCAGTTTGTGCGTAACAAGTATCGCTTTGATCCTGTAATACAACACCAGCGGTGCTCTCTCATAGGAGCGTGTGATATGTTTCAAAATAAAATTGTTACCCACATGTGTCTCTCTTTTGTATATATGTATGTGTGTGTGCGCGTCGCGAGTTATACGCCAGACGCCTGTGTGTTAATAACAAATAGATGTTTTGCATCGTTTTCATTGCACCCAAGAACATTTATTTGTTCTTCGGCTCCTATATATTGGTCTGGAACTTCTCTCATTTTATTCGCAATAACGAACATATATGGCTCCACATTATACATATCATAATCACAAATAGATTTATTTATTCGTAGTTTACACCAATGTCACAGATAGTTTCTAATTGACATTTGATCGTCAAAATAGAATTAGTTTATATGTATATATATATATGACATTGTGTGTATATATATATATATATGTATATGATTCCCTTTCTTGGTCGGTTTTCCGTTTTTAATTGCTTTTCATCTTGCGCAAACGAAACGCAATCATACGCGCACTTTTTAAAGCTCCTAATGATAGATTTTTTTTTCTTCACGATGGAGCCGCGTCAAAGTGTCTGCTCGCCGTTCTACAATTAATTTTCTTGCACTCTGTCTCAAAGTTAACGGATAGACTTTTTTTCTTCGGAAAACAGAAACCTATCCGTTTTTTTTTTTTTTTTTTTAAGAGAGAATGCGAAAAGAAAATTAAATCAATCAGGTGTAATTAAACGTCGCAATTCTTTAGCATATTGTCGCAGACATCAGTCTAGAATTGTTATGTATACAAGTAGCGTGTGTGCGCGAACACGCACACTCGTACTGTCACCGAGGAGAGCTTCTCAGAGAATGAACAGATTCTCGCAACTCTTCGTTTTTCCTTTGAAACTGAGTAACCGCTTCAAAATCTGACTGCCGTGTTTGTAACGTTTGCCGTCTTGGTCCCGGTTGCGCTTCGAGTTCAGCTTGATCTGCGCCAGAATCCCGACCAGAAGCTCGTCCACGTGATGATCCAGATTCAACGAGGTCTCGATGAACTTGCACTCGCAACTGTTCGCCAAACGACGGCCAACTGTATAAAAAAAAAAAAACAGAAAAACCGAGGATCCGATATCCACGCAATTACAACGTATTTAATTGCATCATTTAGTGTCGATTTTCTCGTAATTTTTCTCGCAAAATTTTCACCAAGTAATTGCTCAAATAATTTGCTATCGCTTTATATATATATATATAT